TTATTGTAAGAAAAGTGGATAAGCGAATTCTTAATGATATTTGATTGATGGTGGCTAGCCATGGAAATCAAGAAGCAAATTTCGTGCTATTTAGGACCCTTCACATTCCATAAGACCAAAGACAACGGAGGGTTTTAAGAAAGGGCTTACAAGTATACAAGGGAGTAATGGTGGTATAATCACTTGATGAAGTCTTCATTGTCCAAAGCAGGGATAATGATTCCATAGACATTTTCCGAGTGCATACTTTAGCCATAACAGTCTAAATAACATTGACCTCAGCTCTATGAAGTAGACGAATGAGAAAACTATTTGACAGATTCGAAAGAATGGGACGAATCTTCTTGGATGCTTCTGTTTTGTCCATTGAGTAGCCATTACCAACTTTACACTATGAAATAGAGCTTCTGATTGTTTCTGTGCCTCTTGCCAAGTGATATTAGAAAACATTCAGTGATACTCTGTCTAAGCTGTCTTCCAGTACGCCTAACATAATTGTCCCCAAAGTAGCAGGTGAATTAATAAATACACCAAGGTGCGACAATATATATATATATATTAGCACGATCTTGGCGTCTACAGCATAATAAAGGTACCTAACAGTTATGATTTTCAGCCAGCATAGTTACACTGTCAGACTATTTTTGGCATTTCATCTGCCAAAAACCCAATGACATTTAATAGTCAGAAGTCAGAAATGAACTTTTCATGTGATCATTCACTAACACACCTTATCGAACAGGCCAGTAATAAAGGACGCTACTTAATATATTTTTAAAATCTTGTGAACTTCATTTACAAAACTAACATGAATAAAATTAAGTGCGAAATATTATCTAGCGTATTACTGTGTCGACATTATTTCACAAGACAACCAACGTGAAATGCATAAATATTGTATATTCATATATATAAAGTTACCTGAATAGCTAATTAATCGGTTTGTTACAAATTGATGTTCTGTGACCCATGTTAGTACCTAAGAGGTAGCATAGGTTCACACGGTTGTACACAAACTTTGCTGATCAGTGCCAACAGACCTGACACGCCAGATCTAAAGCCTCCGACCGAATAGTTCCCTCTAATAATATATAATGTTAAATTGTAACAAGCAGCAATGCCGTATGACTTAGCTTAGTAGCCACATTCTACTGCTGATTATTAGATTTCGACCAAGTCGATCGGGGACTGACAATTATATCTATCAGCATTCAGAGTTCACTTTGTTTACATAAACATATCGATTTAAAAGGTTCAACTGATTCATCTCTAAAACAGTTGGTATTGTAATCAATAAGAAATAGGCAGGAAAGCGGTTATTAAATCAATATCTACTGAACAACTAAATATAATTAAAAGAATTGAACTTTTCCTTTAGTAAAGAGAACATAAGTGCCATATACTATTTCAACATTCATAAGAACGCTTCTAAGTCTAAAAGACATATTTAGGAATTATATTATGGTAAGTTTTGGTGTATTTTCTTCGGATCACAGGATCTTTAGAAAAGAGATGAATGTATCAAAAGAAGGCACTAGGAGAGAAACACATTTGCGTAGCTTTACTGAGGCTATGAATAAGAATGGAGATTAACGGTAACTTTGATGCACCAATGAAATTCAACAGCTCTTACAAGTCGTTTACATTAGACAGTTCATCTTAAAATGTATAACAAATATTACACTTTGCTTTTAAGGTAAATTATTGGGAAAAAATGATCTGGTTAGATGTTCAATTCACCTTGCTAGAGTAATTTGTTCAGATGAAACACTAAACAGTGAGTTCGGTAATGTTCGTTATTTGCTAAATATAAACGGATATCCGATTAAATTTTTGGATTTAGCAAGCACTAATTCCAGGGTGCCTACAGTTCGGAAAAAAAACCAGTGTTCCTAAGACTGCAATTCACAGTAGATATTAATAGTAAGATTGTATCACATCTGAGAAGGGTCTTCAGAAGGACTATTAACGTAGATGAGTTGTGCCGTTTATTCACCACCTAACCAATACTTAGTTCAAGTAGTTAAAGATAGACCGCCTAATTTCGTCCTTTCATGTGTATTTACCAATGTGAGTGTTCCTGTGGAGCTAGTCTAATTTTTCCATACCACCCATATTGATTAAGCATAAGGCAGAATACAGTGATACGCAGCTAATCACGCCAATAAAATATATTAAGTCGACACTAACAGAGTTCTTTAAGTTATTTATCCTACTTCACCCAACCTTTTGCATACTCTGCAAGTGTAGCCTTAAGGTACAAGAGAGGCGATCGCAATTCATTGGGGGAAACCAAATCTGTGTTCAAAAGGAATTCATGCGATCGTTCTCTCTCACCCGTGACCATCTACATAATATGCGTAGTGTCTTAAAAATGATGTTTCCTCTATCCTTGTGACTATCATTTGACATTGTTATTTTATCACGTTTACTATTCTAAATAGTTCAATTAACTTACCTTGACATTTTTAAGGAATTCATTCATCTATTCTTCCTAGTCATCATTCGTTTACAAAATATCGATTGTGCAATAAACTGTTGCTAATCTGTGTAAATTAACTAATCTTGAATCCCATTATTACTTTCATCCTTCATCTACCCTAAAATCTATATTTATTTTTGACTAAAAGTTTGCTGCTAACTTATACTAATTAACTGTTTTGATTGTTTTTCGTAAACAATTAATTCCACCCATCAGATATCTTATAAAACTGATAATTCTAATTGACTAACATCATATGATTGATATGAGACTATAAACATTAGTGTGGAACAGTTGGCAAGAAACTAATTGGGAAGGAATATGTTTCCTCGCTTAATTTGCTGTTTTTCTATATGTAAATTACAAAAGGGATCGTTCTGCAGAAGAAATCCATTTCTGGCACCAGTTAGCTAGCTGATAAGTTTATGCTGAAATCTGGGGAAGTAAATATAGGTTACGCTATAAAAACACTATGCGGATGACACCCTCATTACCAATGGCAATCACTAGCCAAATTATTTTTACCTAACTTAATAATTTTTGATTGCACACTAGTCAGTCTAGTCCTATCTTCACTACAGACTGAATTCTATCAGTCAAGCTTGCAATGTGGCCACCATGCCAATTAGTTCGCGATTACGGTACACTGTGAATTGTTGGTATTAGATTGGTTGGTTGAAGGCAATCGGCAGGAAGCCTTGGACCTAGGTTTCGTACTAGTTAACTCAAATCTTTCAGTGACTTGATGAGCCGAAGTAAACGGCAAGTCAAGTTTCCTGGACATTTCAGTTACTAAGCATAGCAGTATCAACATTCAGTTTACAGGTATTCCGGAAGAATTCATGGTAGCTCGAAGGAAAATTATCCATCAACGAGACGGTTACTATGACAAACTACTACACAATGACAAAAGAATCGATGTAACTGATAGCTCAAAGATGCCCCTTAGCTATCGATAGCATCTTACCAACAATTTTCCCAGCTCCAACTACAGTTAGAAGTACGAAATTTTATTGACTCTACTTCACATTTTTATCTACAAGTTAAATTGCAATTGTGGGATAAAATATTCAATGTCTTCAAGAAGGAACTGTTTTGAAGTGGCTATTAACTCACACAGAAAATGCAAATGCATTTAATCTCAACCGAAATCCAGTAGTCGATGAAAAGTCACGAAATTACCATTAATGTTTTCTTATCTATGATTTTACGTAATTCTAATCTGTGGTTATTGGATTGGATTGTTTTCCTTCACGTTCCCAGTGGAACATAGGGCCTCAAGCTAGTGGCTTGAAGTTTCTCTAGCAGTGTATATTAAAGCGGTCAAATTGTGTACAGAAAATAGGGGATTTGAACCTTCATTTACCGCGTACTACTTGAACTATCAAGAAGTGATTGTTCATTAATATGTCATATCATCTCATATAATTCAAATATTACCAAGCACTTTACTACTGTCAGTCATTCTATTTGTAAAGTACTGGAGAATAGACACTACGAAACGATATCATCCTACAATATTTATCTTCTGCTTATACTAATTACAAATTGCCAATCTTCAAGTGAAGTGTTGATCGTTACCGTCACAGTGAAGTAGAAATCATCTGAAAACTTTGTGTTAAAGTCTTGGTGAGATCTTTCAAATTGAACATTTAAGCCCCCTCTCTCTCCAATTTAGCATTAAAAACAACGCCTTGATATTTATCTTCTGGAAACACCTTCAACATCTTAAATATTATTTGTGCCAAGTAGATTTCAGATCATATTTAACTTGATGGACCCAAGGTCCGCTTATATGTCATAAGTATTTAAAGCTTGGAGATGAAAAATGCATATGCTAATCAGTTGACGTGTATCTTCCCCTATAAGTTACATCATACCATTACATCCGATTTTAATCATAAAAAGCCAGTCATAAATGTACTTACGTCTACTAGAATCTTCACTACATAAGGTAATTTTTTCGATGGTTCTATAGCGGAATTCATCTCATGATCAAACTAACTTGAAATTTCATCTAATGTTCACTAGTTACCTGAAGTAGTAACCACCGAAGTCAACCAAGTTAAGTGTAAGGACAAATACACATTGACAACACTGACTGTTGCACTGTATATGGCGAAATGACGGAAGTTAGAATACATGCGTTATTAGAATTCATCGCAGTGGCTAAATTTTCGTTGGAGTGGCCTCACAACCTGAAGCTCCTAAGGTTCGACCACCATTGAAGTCGTCGACACGTACTGATGACGAAACAGCTGTCTAGTACTTCCCAGTTCTTAATGGTCATCTGCATGAAGTCAGCTCATGTTCAAACATGAAATCCTGCAACCTAAAAATTGCGAACTATACGAACATGTCAAAATCTTTACAGGATGTTTTATCTGTAACTGTCAACTTTGAAGATTACAAACCTACTAATCATAGAACATTTATTAAAGTGTAGTGAATTGACTTTTTTTCCCAATACATTGAAAAAAAACTTACCATTATTACACAAGTGTTTGTAGTTATTATAACGCAATATACTGTCTTAGACAATTATCAGACTGTTCTTATTTTTACTGACAACTGTTCATGAGTTGAAGAAAATTCCAACTTCTATGCATAATTCACATATAATTCATCATCTTTTAGTCGATTCTCATTCGTGAATAAATATAATACACCAAAACAATAATCTTATCAGAAACTGTTGTTTGCAATCTGTTTCTGAGATAGTGATAAAGAGGAAAATCTCCAAGTTCTCACTAACCATCACCTTTTATTAGCGTATACACGTAGTAGTAGTAGTAGCAATAATAATAATAATAATAATAATAATAATAATAATAATAAAGAGAAATCGTTAAACCAATTAAGTTATTAAAGACACACATGAAGAAGTAATCGTCAACAAAGACAAAACAAAAACACTTTTCACTAGATTATAAGCAATAATGTGTAAGAATGTAACGAAAACTATCTCCAGGGATTAAAGTAACAACTATAATAATAATAATAGTGAAAATAATAACAATAATATTAATATTAGTTACAATATTAAGTAACTGAAACCTAGACAATGCAACGAAGTCATAAAATCAAACGAACAAATAAGACAGTTTGAATATGAGAATAAAGCATGCAGACAAATGAGTAAACCAATTGGGAATCAGTTTTCCCTTTAAAATTAAGTAGGAAGTAAGAGAGAGAACTATGAGAAATTTATGCTTGCATAAGTATTGAAAATAGTAATGTATAAATACAAAAGCACAAACATTGCATAACACAATGTCAAAGAGGAACTGACTTAGTTCCTGTAAGTAATTCAAAGTCAACTCTAAACTTGTTCACTATGTACATTAGGAGGAATCTAAAATGTAAAAGAAAAAAGTTAGAATATTTCGCCTGTCAAGATAGACTAGCACTTTGTTTAAAAATGAAAATAAGTATAAAATGTACATTACTATTTACTACAAAATTGCTTGTGAGACAAATGAATCAATATTTTTACTAATGTCTATCCAAAAAAATTAAACAACACTTCAATTTCATGAATCAGCAGCGTATAAGTGTTTTGCACTGGGTATAAGAATATCAATCACTGTATACTATGGATTAAATGTCGATAACAAAACCTTACTGATTAGTTGAAAACATAATTTCATAGTCTAAATATGTGACTTTAAACTGATTATTCATATTTTACCTAATCAAGTTTGGAAAGTAAGACAGTGTTGGTTTTGATACAATAAGTTAGCCTTATCGTCTTGTACTGGACAGATGTAGCCCTGGTCAAATTCAATGTTTCAGGGATTGACTAGCTAAAAAGGAGAAGTATCTTTTATCTAGTGTATGCAGATGAGATTTAAGGTGAAAATATAGACAAAGTGTGCAGTCTTCTGCACACTATGGATGAAAATTTGATTACGCTTGGTATGCAGTCCCCACCCCCGGTCAAATGTAAAATGATGCTGTAGGACTGCTTTGTATTGACTCTTAGGAAGCGAAATGGATGAATGTAATGACCACTTCAATTATTTGGAGATATAAGTCAGTCTTGATTGTTGATGAAATCTCAGGATAGATAGGAAAGTTTTGTTGGCGTTTGCCAACTTGGAGTATCTTTTTTGTGGGGATGACATCCGGTTGTCCATTGAAGATAGTGTGTACTGTGTAACAGTTAGTCCAGTTCTTCTTTACGACTGTTGGAAGTTTTATTTATAAAATAAATACGCATAGTCGACCATAAGTATCTGCCTTCTATTTCTCGTGTGAGATGGTTAATTATAGTCAATAATAATGAAGTTAGAAGTAGCGTTAGATAAGAAAGGGAAGTTAAATGAATTTATGAAGCTGCGTCAACTGAGACGGATAAAATAAGCGCAACAGATACCGGCTCACTACCTTCCTGGACAAGCGTTGTTAGATTATATAAAATTAAGTCGGGAAAAAGTTAAGGGTGGTTTGACCAAAACATGACATCAGCCTATAAAGTCTTTGACTATTGGTTTAAGATACGCAGGAAGGCCCAAATTGAGTATTCAGAGTCGTCGAGATGCTCAGAATTAATGATTTCAGAGTGTTGATGACACGGCTCAGAATCATTCTCAGTGGTACAAACGTATTCACTCTTTATGACCTTTCACACTGAAAATCCTCATTATTCCTTCTCTCCTATATTTCTGTCAATTATAGTTTCATGCATTTCTTTTCTCTACTCTCATGTATGATTTTATGAAGCGTCGTAACTTAAACTCCTATACTTTTGAGCAAAATACTACGCTGATGTTACAGTTCGGTTCCGCTCCGTTAAACCTGAAGTGAAAGTAACAGAATTTAATGAAGCTTAAATTTTCAAACTCTATGATTATTTGCTTTGGTGATCAAAATACTTACTTTGTTTGACAAAACTAATTATTTCAAATTTGTAAGTTTACAAGCTATAAAATATATATGACTACAAAATACCAGGAATAAAATCCTCACACTACTATTAAGTGGTGTGACTTTATATGAGGGATTTTACTTGTCATTTTTTAACAGACTGACACACAACACCATAACACATAGAACAAAAACGAATTGACTCAGATTTCTAGAGTTTACAATTTATAGAAGTGGACCTATAATAGAGTAAATCTGTCGGGAGACGATAAACAAATTAAGAATGGTAAGGAAGACAAGAGAGAGAATGCGTTCGCACCATTGTGATCAATTTCCAGTTATATCACTAATATCCCAACCAACTTTATCAGGACAGTAGCACGCACTACTGTAAACCATGAATTACACTGAGTTCAAATGACTAGAAATGTCATGAAGAAATAAAACCAAATACAAAGAGAACTAAACAAAATTAAAAAAGGACTAACCCAAATTCGGAACATCGGGACACTGAAATCCAGCAGCTAAAAGAGCAGTTCGAGCACGTTGACAGTTTGCTTGAATTTTTGATAACTCACGTTCAATTGTTTCATAATCATCTCGAATGTGACTTAAATTAAGCTTTGACGAATACAATTCATTCAAGTCGACATCAGGACCGGTAAACTTTTGGTAATTCTCGAAAACTTTTTTTATCCCCTGGTATGAAGTTTCAATATCAGTTTGATTACTTTCGTCACCTGAAACAATTGTTCAAATAAATACACAAAGGACAAGATTTTAAATATATAGGTGGTAAATCATATTAAACATGTTCGACCTTAGAAGTTAAATGTTTGTTGACAATAATACAACACTTTCACCTCTAAACAGTTGTTTATTCGTCAGGAATACTAATCTTGCATTACTGAGCAATGATTCTTATATCTTTACGGTATAGGAATGATAGTTTATCAAACGGAAAGCAAGAATTATTCATTTCAATTTCCCTCAGACGTAAACATAACTTTTAAGCATCACCAAGTTCCAAGTTATAAGAAAGCGGAATAAAACATATAATGAAATCTAACATTATATGAAAATGAGGACACGATATGAGCATATTTGAGTTACTAAGATGGGTCTTCAGACATTTTTTTATTACAGCTTGATTCCGCACCGTATTTTTGGTACAGGTATGGAATTTTCAGCATGGATATCGGTAGTCCAAATTCCGCAGGCCGACCATAGATATCAGGTGTGCGTCGGCAGGGGATCGCACCCCAGACCATGTGCATGGTTAGCGAGAGTCCTAACCACTGTGCCACGACGCACATAATACGACTTCAAGCATTTATCACTGATAGCTACAGGTACGCAGTCAAGTAGCCTAAACTTTCCGGTACAGTTCGCGGTCAGAATAGATTGTTTTACAGACTGATATTATGTCTCCACCAAGTTGTGGCTCCCTAATAATGGACAGTATTTATTAATATTACATAACGAAATGGTTGAAAATAGGAAGTGTTAAGTGTTGGGCTGTAACTGAGTGACACAATAGTAATGAGTCAAATGATTTACTACTGATTGGTTCAGTCAAGAAATTATACTCTTAATGGATTTTGCGCAAAGAGAAAATTATTTCAGTGGGGCATTTTTATGACGCATTAGATTTTCTAGGGAAACTGTTACCAAGTTATTTTAACCATTAAAAATTACTGCCTGTAAATAAATTTCTAGTAGTTGGGCGAATTAGTAGAAATTAGTAATATAAAAACTTAACTACGACTTACCTGATGCAACGGAATCCATGACTAAGAAACAATCACTACAAGATGAGTTGTAAGCAAGAAAGTCACGAACTAAATTAGAAAATAAATACACACTTGAAAACAAATACTTTAAATTAAATTTATTCAAAATATTATTTGAAGAGAAGAAAAGAATATTTAAAATACACATGTAAGTCCAAAGTTAAGTAAGCTATATATCACAGAAAATTGGCAGGATAAACAAGAAGGCAAATAATGTTAGCTGACACGAACTGAAAAAGTCGATTTTAACAGAATAGGTCTTTAAAGAAGCGAACATTCTGCGATTCAGATATGGTGTATATATGAAAAAACCAAGGATTAAATGCTACTCACCTTCCAAAAACAACCACTAAGACTGGAAAATGCAATTAAAGGAAAATCATTTATGAATAAAAGTACGAAATTGAATAGTCTTTTTATACAGTGTGAAAATGTAAAAGGCAACAATTCTGATTAGTAATTTTAACAAAAAGGTTAAAGTTACAATCATAATGACTGGGTGCCTTACTATTGGCTCGAGTCGGTGGAAAAGAGGACTGTCAAGGAAGTAAGTATAAAGATGTCAAACTAAAAAGACTAGATAATCTAGACTAAAAATGATCCAGTTATTGATTTCCGGTGGGTAGATAATAGTCATCAGAAGTACGTCTTGAATCTAGATTAAGAGATTTACCTGGCGGGATAGCAGAACCTTTTTGTGATGACCGAAAGCCGAAATGACTGCGTGTTTCAGCCACCGGGTTATATAAATTCATAGTGGTAGGCACTGTAGGAGGATTTACAGTTGAGTACATTGAAACTCCAGAAACTTTCTGAGACTGTCTAGAATCATTCCCTAGTTCTGGAACAATATTAGCCAGAATAGGTTTTTGGGGTAAAATTTTGTAAGGGTTTTGCTTGATGTTTGCTACACTTGACGGATGAACAGTAAGGTTTGTTAATGAATCTTTCCTAGGAGGGCTATTTGATGAAAAGTGACTAGGTTGGAAATTTTGTATTGATTGCTGATTTGGAGCTTGGGCTTCAAACTCTTGAGAAAACGATAAAGATTGTTTTGAATAAAAATTCTGGGAACTTGATTGGGGTTGGTTTAACTTAGTTGTACTTGAATGAGGACTTTCCGGTGCACTAGCAATATTTGTATAACTACCATGTGGACTGTTTCGGCATAATGAAGAAAGGGAATGCTGACTACCATGTTTACCAGCAGCTGCTGCCGCTAAGGCAGCAACTTCTGCTTTCAATGTATCTTCTTGTCTTTTAGCGATCTCCTGTACATTGGTATTTGCTGATGTCATCTCCAATTCATCGTATGACCCTGTTTTGTTAGGAGGTTTGAATGTAAAGTTAGTGCCAGTAGAATTTGACAAGTAGGCATTATGAGGTCCATTTCTCGTAGATTTACTTGTACTGCATTGAGGTGGTAAGCTTATTCTTGGTTTATGAGACCGTGTAAACGTCCCAACATTTATACGGTCACTGTTTATTGCAGTGTTTGCACCGATAGCTTGGTTAGAAAAGGAAAGACTATCCGATGAACTAGCTGTTATCATACGAGTAGATACATCGGTTTCATACGAGGATTGTTCTGCACGCCCTCTGTTCGTAAGAGATGAATATCCCGGAGGTATTAGGTTCAGAGATGGTACACTACCTCCGAACTGGTATGCTTCAGTTTGTCCACCTGCTAGAATAATTGCTTCAAGGCGAGATAAGAGATTTCGACGAGAATGATAAAAACAAGAGTCTGGTGAATCAAATACAGATCTAAGCCACTTGCTAATGGGTTCAATAGGACCCTGTGTTTGAAACTGTTTTGGTGGTTTGTATAACCAACATTCATCAGCCGGAATGACACAACTTGCTTTCGAGTCATTACCATCTTGGTTTGACTTATTTGTATTTGTGGATGGTTCACCTGAATGAGCAGCAGATGGGTTTTCAGCTTTTATCAAACCATTTTCCACATTTCCTGAAAAACTAGTATTGTTCGCATAATTGATGTTAGGAGTTATGTTTTTAGGATTGTTAGAGTTAATTGCATTCATTGAACCTGGCAACTACAAAATGGAAAGCAATTTGAACTTAGCAATAAGTAGAGTTAGAAAAAATCCAAATACATGAGTATTATGTACACTCAAATATACGCAACATAACTAACACGAAAATTTATTTATAATTTATAAGTGAAGTTACGGAATGTTAAGAATGGAATTATTCAGTTGATCAGGAACAAGTAATAATGTTTCATTTGAAAATTTATAGAACTTTGTGAGCACTTCTGAATTGTCTATCTTTTTTTCTACAAAATACCCATTATACACAGACTACGCATGTAAACCCCAGTAAAATAACAAGACTAGATTACCAGAATAAGATATTAAAAGCACACCTAGAGACAAAAAGTAAAATAAAGTGAGACTTAAGCAGTTTCTACAGATTTTTTTAAACCACAGTTTAACAACCTTAGTTTTAACGAGTCTTGAAAGTAGTTACTTTTCAAACGCATTTAAATAATCTAGAACTAAAGTAGATGCGTCAAATGGTGCAAATAGAAGTGAAAACTTAAGTGACTTATGGAACGTGTTCAGATGGGAGCAAATAGTGGACTGTTATTTTCACACTGACAACGGCAGTCTGCCTGGGGATACCCTGAGTTCCTGGTCACAGACATCATTATATGTAACTCAGAATCGGAATTAGTGGTGATAACACTTTTTTTCCCAATTCTTCATGGATTAATAACCGCCCCTTCGAATCAGTCCATAATTGCGTGTATTCGTTCCATACCCTTGGATAACCCCTCTGTTTCCTTCCTTCTATATTGTTAGTAAAATATTTCGTGTGGAACGACTCGTGGTAGTAACATCATAGAATTTTCGTTCACGTTTTTAATAGATAGTTCTTTGTGACCGAAACTTATAGTAAGTCTTTGGGACTATGTTCAAACTAGTATATTGCTTGAGAGAACCATTATGAAATATTATTACGTAGTGACATCTGAAGAATTACGGCAAGAGGATTATAGCAAGTAAACTATACCAGTAACTTCAGTCTTTAGTGAAGAGTCCCGATAAACCAAAGAAATCGTTATAAGTGCTAGCGAAATATACAATTTTCGTAGCTAGCTACGCAAAATCTAGCACTGAATGCATGCCACATTCAACTACCATTTCGCCCATTTGTCAGCCATTCGAAAATGACTACATTCACCGAGTTCTAAACACTAATTCATGTGAATTCCTTAACTGGGTTCATATCAGTGTCCTTGTCCTACTACTATTTTCCAGACACAGTACATAAATAAACCTAAGTAGTTTGTCATAAGTTCATTTTATTGCATAAATAAAAATTCATAAAGCTAAAATGAACGTCACCTCTATATAATGCGTACATTAGATCATAGTCGATCAAACGACCTCGAGAATGTAGCGCAGTTTACAGTCGGCCGCTAGTGCTTATTGGACACAATAAATTTGAATAAATTTCACTGATTAAAAAGACCTGAAATATGTTTTTATCAGAGAGAATCAATCAAAATCCTAAACCTACCAGTTTATTCATGGTAAAGTAGTTTTACGAGAGTAAAGTTGCTCCATATGATATATGACAATGTTTGGGGTGTTAGATTATTAGACTGCTCTCAATTTAATCCCCGGTTTGTAACCACACTTGGGTGGCTATTGTTCTTAGGAACTTGAAATTCTAAAAAACAGATATCCTGTCTGAGCATCGTAAATTTTTAAAGTTATTTTATTTTGTTCTCCTAAACTATAAAATCTTCATAATATACTATTTACTTCTGTAGTATCCAGTATATTATACTTAAGAAGGCTTCATTACGCCTTTATAAAGCTCACAGCTAGCTTATTAACGAGTACAGATAATCATAAGATATCTCTTACTAGTGTCGTTGACATTCCTTCGCAGTCATAAACTGGTAGCCATAAAAATGTGCCTCTTCTTGTTAGTTGAGATGATCAATCATTGTTGGGAATAAGAGCCTTCAGATACTTGGGGGTATAAATATCGCTCTGTGGTGGATCAATTGATGACTTATTGCTTAAACAAGTCCCATTACGTCGCTCGTAATGTAATGATCCTGTCAAAATAATGATCAAGCCTCATCAATGAGTAATTTAAAGGATGAGCGATAACCTTAGCTTTCTGAAGCGCCGGCTGATTCAAAATGGCTCGGAAGATACATATATATGTATAAGGGGGTGTTGGACAATTGTTATATATAAGCCACCAATTGACTACCCACTGGGTGCAAAGTAGACAAACAACATGGAAAATAAACCATGAAATTAATGACTACTGATGCGCACAATCGTATTAAAAAGAAAAGGACGGACGAAATCTCAACCCGGAACATCTATCAACATTGAACACTGCCATTAAAGTATCAGGCTAACGGCACAAAGAAGAAAGATGAAATGTCCTTAAGGGAAAATTAGATACGATTTCCGAACATTCATCTGAAGAAACACTAATGACTGCGCAGTGAGTTTATTGGAATAACCATTATCAAAAAGGAAAAAATTTCTTCAGAAAGGACTGACCGAAAATTCTGGTGACGCTATAGAGATGGATTTCTTTATTTCAATGGGAACATCCATCAAAACACAAATTTTACATGAGGAAGTACAACAAAAAATATGTCAGTGTATCATGCCCTCATTTAAAAAGCCATACGTAACGTAACATTCAAGAGCCAAACCTTTTTGAAGAAACTGAAGGATAGGAAAGATATCACTATTTTTAATATTCCAGCTTTAAACATTAAACCCGTATTTTCTGTTAATTGGATAGTCTGGACTTCGCGTGTTGGAAGTGACATTCAATTAATTGTAAAGCAACTATTATACTGTTTGTGACCGGACGTCAGATAGCCCCATATTTGAAGGTTTGTACTGTGTTTATCTGATACTTTCGTTTCAACAGAACAATAGTCTTGCAGTTTTTCGGCATTCTATTATCAATATGATTATATTTGGAGCCCTGTGATTTTTGTTTTGGATTTAATCAATTGTTCTTGTAACCGTGAGGATTCTTCTGGATATGTTCTAAGTTCTTAAGAACGGACAGAGGTCCGACAACAGTAATCATGAACACAAAAGGCAACATCAGAGATGCCCATAAATTACTCAAAAACAATAAATTATATTGACAGCTGGTGAAAAACCCTGTAGAAACATTAGATGATGAAATAAAAATAACATTATATAAACTAACAAATCAAGTTACAAAACAAGACCATTAGCGAACGAAATGTAACGGACCCGTTTTTTAAATCAATTCCGCGGTAGACAGAAACGATACAGATCAAAAGCTGTCTTACGACCAATTAATTCGCTACCAGAAACACTAGCACATCACCTATCTAGAGAAGTTTTCAGAAGATTAATTACCCAACGGAATCATGCTACCATTCCATCAATTCACCAACGCAATTTTTAGAGGAAATCAAAGACATTTAAGTGGATGATAATGCAGCAATGTTGTCCTTTGATGTCACAGTGTTATATACTTTGACTGGCCCAAAACTAGCAAAAGAAACTACGCAACAACCACTCCATAGCGATGAAAACACAAAAACTCAATGTTCAGCTTGGATAAAACTCACAGAATTATGTCTTGTAATATACTTCCAGTTGAATAATCAATATACGAACAGATAAAAGGGACACCAGTGGGATCGCCCATATCAGGATTAATAGCTGAAGATTAGGATTATTAGCTCTACCTATAATTAAACCAAAAATCTGGACAGGTGCATTATGTTGATGATACGTTTGTAATAAATGAAAGGAATAATTTGGGGTATACCTACAAGTTTATAAACAACGTATCTGAAGACATTACATTCAGAAGGGAAGAAGAATTAGACAACAAGATTCCATTCTTAGATGTCTTAATCAAGAAAACCAACACAGGAAATTTAGAAACACAAGTATATAGAAAATCAACGTACACAGACCAAATACTCAACTATAGTAGCCATAACCCAATAACCCACAGAAGAAGCTGTGTGCATAAATTGTTTGAAAGAGTTCAAACACACTGTAGCACTCCGGTGTTGAAGAGAATAGAGCAGAAATACCTACTAACTGTCTTAAAAAAGAATGGATATTCTGAAAATTTCACCGAAAAGTGTTTAAAATCGGGTCATAACACCAGCAAGAAACCACCATCAAAGACCACGAGAAAATTTATTCTACCACATATAAAAATATCTCTGAAATAACGGTCAGAATATCAAGACCGTTTGAAATAGGTGTAGCACAAAAGCCAGTTAGCACAATCACTTCATTCGATATTGTGCAAATCAAATGACCCAACAAAAAGGAAGATAAAATTCATACCACACAAAATATATTGTATGAACTCTAACAGACATTACATCGGCCAAAGTGGACGTCCCTTTGGAATCAGAATTCAGGAACACAAATCAGCTGTAAGAATACATGATATTTATTCTTTCATATCAACAGATGCAAATGAAACCAATGTGATTGGAGTAATGTAGAAATTTTAAATAAAGGGAACACGAAAACTCCATTCACGGAATTTCTAGGAGCCTGGTACTCAAGTGAATTGGCAATTAACAGGCATTTCTGTAGACCAAAATTTACCATCCAATAAAAGGTAAATCACATGAGAAGAAAGTTTAAACTCCAAGTCAATAAAAATGACTTATAGCGACGTAAATTAACAGCCAATCACGACAATGGTTGCAAGCGTATACAGTTATATCATTCATGGAGAATTCAAATGAGGCCGGGGACTTGAGCTGAAGATGTTGTCCAGGAGGAAGACGAGACCTTCACGATTAAATTGACCAGCCCAGAGAACACAACTTTGTTGTACATATTATTTGGGCGGCCCGCACTGAGATCATTTCAGCTTTCTAAGTCAATGCCACTCGAGGAGGATGAAAAAAATGGCAGAAGTCTTTCACATAAGCCATCGCACCACCAATAGTCGATGGCAAAAGAAAAGCTACACAGTGCAAGAAAAAGAATGTATGCTGTAAAAACTGCAAGGCGTGAAGTGCCTCTCCGGTACATTGTAAAAGATAATTATTGATCAGTTTAACTTGATACAACTTCCAGAACATTTACAATCATTAACTTATAATGGAGCTGCCCAGAATGTTTTACTTTGGTTTAGCAACATCACCTGCTGTACGTCTGATGATAGCAGATCGAGTGAAAGGAGGATTAGGCTGTGTTGAATCTTAACAAGATGACATCGCCGTCCATGAACCAAATATCTGTGAAAAAATATTGTGGCCACCAGTTTAGGTGGGCCAGACTAAAGAGTCAGCAAGCAGTGTGAAAAGAGGTAAGTCATAACAGGAAAGGTGGCCACAACTATCATTAGAGTTATTTCTAATCGAAGCCAACCGGAAGACGGGTCAGATTCGATTGAGCAGCGTGGATAACCAATAACCTAGATAGTCACTCAGGTCACGGACAACATCCCCCCAAGTAATGCTAGTAAAGAGGAAAGGTTGGGCATAAGGCTAGCAACCCCATCCTGTAAAATAAACACTGCTACAGAAACTTCAGGTCACTAGCTCGAAACCCCATATTCCACTGGGAACGTGAAGGAAAAATTATCTATTATTATTAGTTCCAAAGTACTTTTTTCTTCACGCAGGATTTACATGTATAGTAATAATCTGAAGTATATCTTCATTTCGTTGGAGAATTGTACGAAAATAGATATAGGCAGATTTTTATTGGCTGTTGGCTAGCTGGCTTTCTATTGGTCTAAAATATAAATTAAAGCGCCAATCTTTTTATTTTGACATGGAAATATACAGTCAGTAAAATTTCGGGGTTACCTCACCATAAAAGGAGGGAGGGTGGCGTTAGCTGATCAGTAGATATGGTGGCGGTCACTAAGGTGAATCGCCCCATTCTGCAGGAACAGCAATATACAAATTAAAGGCTCGAGATATTTCTGATTTTTATGAGGGCTTAGATCTTTATCTTGAAAAAGATAATAGTGAACGCCTTGACAGATAATGCTTCTACCTTTAAATATATACCATTCGCTCAGCCTATTGTTGAGATGCGACCACGTGGGATCTGCACAGACTTATGGGGCATCTTATGAATTAACTTGCTATCCATTGTCAGATCTTTAAATACCACTTCAAAATATCTTGTCTCACTTATTTTCTAATAACGTCTTTACTTGATTCTCATTATATTCCATTAAACCTAACATTTTATAGCTCTTTATGAATTTGATTCGACTTATTCTATTCCTATTCTCTGGAGGGTACGGTTGTGTACCAAATAGAAAAAAAGACATGAAATAAAGACAACTGGCTTGAAAATAATTGTATTAAAGCCAAAAGTGAACGCATGATAGTATAAAATATATTGGTTTCATTATACATTGCAAATGAACGTTGTCGGCCTAAGGATTAATTACTTCCCCATT